TTTTTTTTTTTTTTGAGATAGAGTCTCGTTCTGTCACCCGGGCTGGAGTGCAGAGGTGCAGTTTCAGCTCACTGCAACTTCCACCTCCCGAGTTCAAGTGACTCTCCTGCCTCAGCCTCCCAAGTAGCTGGGATTACGGGCACCTGCCACCACACACCTGGCTAATGTTTTTGTGTTTTAGTAGAGATAGGGTTTCACCATGTTGGCCAGCTGGTCTCAAACTTGTGACCTCAAGTGATTTGCCCACTACGGCCTCCCAAAGTGCTGGGATTACAGACATGAGCCACCACATCCGGCCAGTGCTGATTTTCTTAATGCCTTTTATCATAGCTCATCATTGGTCACCAAACCACTATTTCAATTATGGTTATTGAAATATCAGCCTATTGAATCAGTCTATAATAATAGATTTGGTTATTTTGATTAAGGTTTAGTTGTGTCTTCATGTTCTAGTACACAAATAGCTGTTCTAATAAACAAGTAAATCAAGAAAACCCGAGGCAGGGCTGTGGCGGTGAGAGGGAATGTATGGCTTGTTCTTTTTGAATACCTTCCTGGATATTGAGCTCACCTGACTTGTTCACATTTGAAAGGTCTTCCATGATGGCCCTTGGAGGCGAGGTTCATCACAGGATGAGGAAAGGACAGAGGCACAGAGAACCCCCAGGAGGAGATGGGGCTCTGGGAGACGGCCAAGGCCTCGGCCATTCTCTGACTACGGCCAGCTGGCCAGCCGCAGTTTGTCTATTCCTGAAGACTCGGTTGCTGCAGACCCCCAGAAGGAAGACCGTGTGAACGAGGACCCCCAGGCAAGCTTGACTTCTGCCAGCCCTGAAGACCAGAATGCTCCAGTGGGCTGCCCCAGAGGAGCCCGGAGAAGACGCCCCATTTCCGTGATAGGTGGGGTCAGCTTGTATGGGACCAACCAGACGGAAGAACTGGACAGTCTTCTGACCCAAGTAAGATCTGGTGTGCACCTCCCCAAGCCAGCAGAGGCCCTCCAGCTTCCTGCCTCTGTTCTCTCTGCACACTAAGCTGGATCTGCTTTTTCTCTCGCGTTCTCAAGGGCAGCACCGTATGCTTAACCACCTTTTCTTCCTGACTGTGTGAAAACATGCATGAATTCAAGCTAACCGTCTGATGTTTGGATGCCTTTTGCTAATCTTTCTTTCCTGGGATCTCAAATAATACTTAAGACTCATTTGCTGTTGATTTCTGAATAACCTGAGATTCTAACCAGGGAAAGGTAGCAGGACGTATTCAGTAACACTCCTGAAAGAAATTGTTGAAAAAGACAGTATTGTTCGTTGTTAAAATGTAAAGATAAAATGTAAAGAAGAAATAAATAAAATGTAAAGAAGAAATAGTTTTTTAAGAGATAAGAAAGTATTTTGTTTTCTACCATTTTATTCATTTATTTATTTTGAGTTGCAACTTTGCAACTAGTAATAGTTTGACAATGGATTAAACACTTAGTACTGGTTTCTTACTATAGTTTAGTAATTCAACAGATATTTAGCCGGGTATCCAGTGAGCAGTTTGAAAATACAAAACATTTAATTGAAGACTCTGTCTTGGAGAAGTGTATGCTTATTTGGGATGGCTAATACCCGGCCGTGGTAAACAGTCACAGAACACCATATGAGTAATATATATGCCCACTTTCATTTTCAAAACTTGGTAGCTGATGTCATAAGTAACCCATAAAGTTATCTGAAAAGGGAAATCCTATACAGTACTAGTACTGGATTGTATATGTTTACATTTTTCCTGTAAAGCCCCACACAATGCCTTGTTTATAACAAGCACTCAAAAACCCTTGCTTAAATAAATTGAACTGATTTCTTAAGGTTAAAAAATTCAGTTGCAGAATACCATGAAAATTTTAAGACTCTTTTGTCCGAAGGTGCTCTGCTGTTGGGACATGATTCTGCACTGAAGCAGATGGTCACGCGTTTTAACTCAGAACAGCAGTCCCGGATGCTCTAGAGCCTTAGAAAGGGTTTCCCTTCACAGCAGCAAAAAGGCATGTGAAAAGTGATTTTCTGTACTATAGCCTAATTTAGGGAATTGGGTGAGAAAATTGTAAGAAAACCTAAGGAATTACATAAGCAGAATGTGCATGTAATAAACAAAAGGAGGAAAAACGAAATCTAAGGAACGCATAAAGCAACTGGGCCTTTGACTTACAGTTTTAGGGATCGCTATTGTGGAAAACCAGAAGGGCATTGTAAGAGAGACCTGGGCAACTACATGGAAAACCGCTTCTTTTAACTGAAGCTCCACTGCTGTGTGAGTTTAGGGAGGCAAGGCTTGCCTTCAGCTCCACAAATCCTTACTGAAGGCTCATCTGTGCCAGGCTCTGTGTCGGCAGGGAGGAGTAAAGGAGGAAGGAGGCTGAAGAAGGATGTGAGGATCACAGTTGGCCACCCTGGCCGGGTTGTGGCCTTGTCCTGGCTTCCTCCAGAGGGCCACCCCGGGAAAGCATCTTCTTACCTTAGTGACCCTGCATCTGTGTGACAACTCCCCTGCTTTCTAAACGTGCCTTCCTCTTCTCAGAAGCTTCTTTTTCCTTAGTGGGACCTGTTGGCATGTTGCAGAAAAGTGAGATGAAACACGAGGCTGCAGGGTGCAGGACAGTAAGCCGATCAGGGTTGTTAAAAACCGTAGCATCACGAGTTGCCACTGGGCTTCGGTGCAGCCTGCAACTCGTGGCAGGATTGGAGAAACCATTTCACGTCTGTGAGTGGCTTCGAGGTGAGAGAGCTATGCGTGTGAAGTGCTTACAGGAGCTGCCACTTCCTGACACCTCCTTACAGATTTTGCTTTCTTTTTGCAGCCGGCTTCCAGGCCGCCCATGCCTGCTCACCAGGTGCCACCCTACAAGGCTGTGTCGGCCCGGTTCCGGCCCTTCACGTTCTCCCGGAGCACCCCCATTGGGTTGGACCGTGTGGGACGCCGGCGGCAGATGAGAGCATCCAACAGTGAGTCTCAGAGTCCCTTTCCTTTCAGAGCTGCCACGGGCCCATCTGACTGTTTCCAGCTAACCTGAGGCAGCAGGTTCGGCAGCTCCGCGCCTCCCTCGGGCCAGGCCACGTTTGTCTGGGAGCGAGGACGGCTCATCTCAGGAGAATGGTGCATCATTTGCTGTCTGGGGTAGATGCTCTGTGTGCTAGGCTGGTGGCTCTTAGGTTTGAGAAGTTTGCTCCTCCTGTGGTGTCCGTGTATGTCATTCCTGCATGTGGAGATCCCTAAAGAACCCAGACCCAGGCTAGAAATTCGAGATCGACGTGTCAGCAGGGTCCGCTGCTTCTGGAGGCTGTGAGGGAGGGTCTGCTCCCGGCTGCTCTCCTTGCGTCTGGCACCCTCAGCGTTCCTTGGCTCGTACGAGCGTTGCCTCATCTCTGCCTTCATGTTCACATGGCATTCTCCCATGTGTCTGTCTGTGTTCAGATCTCCCCTTTCTGTAAAGACACCAGGCTTACTGCTTGTGGGCCCAACTTAATGACCTCATCTTAATGTAATTATCTACCAAGACTGTTTCCAAATAAGGTCACACTCATAGGCGCTGAGGGTTAAGTCTTCACCATCTTTTTGGGGGACGCAATTGAATCAAAAACATATACCATGTTTGTAACAATAGGCAACGTGTACCCATGTGGCAGAAGATTTTAAAAGAATAGGCAGAAATAACAATAGCATTGTTAGGGTGGTAGGAATGTAGAGCCCTCCTCCTCCCACCCCATACCTGTGTACACACAGCCTATTCCCTGCTTTCTGTGACACTGGTTTTTGTTGTTATTTTAAAAAGGTTTTAATTTTAGGGGTTCTTTTGTTGAAAAGCAACAACATCTAACTCTGGCTATCTTTTTTTTTTATTATACTTTTAAGTTCTAGGGTACATGTGCACAACGTGCAGGTTTGTCACATATGTATACATGTGCCATGTTGGTGTGCTGTACCCATTAACTCGTCATTTACATTAGGTCTATCTCCTAATGCTGTCCCTCGCCCCTGTCCCCTCCCCGCAATAGGCCCCGGTGTGTGATGTATCTTAAGCAAAAAGGGAATTTATTGGAAGGGTGCCGGGTGTGCCCAGAATTGATGAGATGGCTGGGGAACCAGGCCAGGGAAGGGATGGCAACCAGGGTCCTGGGAGGGGAGGAGCCACAGGAAGGCGTGTGATGGGAGACTGGCCGTGGCACTGTCCCAGGAGTTAGGGAGGTGTCCAGTGAGGCCTTTGAAAATACAAAACATTTCATTACAGACCCTGTCTTGGAGAAGTGTATACTTATTGGAGTTATAATAAGGAGTTAATTTATTAGAAGTTCGGGACTGTCTGTCTGTCACTCACCCAGGGCTTCAGGTCCCAGGATGGAGGATTCAGCTGTCCGAGCTTAGGTGATATGTCCACCGCCTGGTGGCATGGAACAGGGAGAAGGGTGGAGTGTCTGCCTCCAGGGACCGTTGCCTTCTATATGTGAAGGGAGGCCAAGTAAGTATTTAACAGGGCAGACAGTACTGTAAAGAAAAATAAAACAGGATAGAGGACATTCGTTTCCAAAGAGTGTCATTCTAACACGATGCACCTGTTCTGTGAACCCGCTCTCTCTTCCCTAGAGGGAGACACCCAGAGCTTCATCAGTGGCAGCAGACACCTCCAAGTCTAGGACCTCTGAGGATAACCAGTCCTCCCGTTCCATGCAGTGCCTCTTCAGTGTTGATAACCAGAGGCAGATTTAAGCAACACATCCCTACCAGAATGGCAAGGCGGGGAAAGGAAGGAAAGAGAAAAGTTGGGATGCTGTGGAGAATAAAACATCATGCAAAGTTTACATTTCAGCATTTGAACAGATTCTCCATAAGTCAATACGTAGGATGCGCCAAGGCGCCAGAGACGGCCCTGGAGAAGATGACTGTGGGTAATATGAGGAGTAGGAGCAGGTGGGGGAGGTGATGCTGGGGACAGCTGAGTAGGATAGGAGGCAGTGAGGCAGAGATCTGAGGGAGGAGAAGTCCTACCAGAAGGAGCATCAGAAGCCCAAAGTCATGCAGGAAACATGATGTGTCTGAGGTTCAGCAAGGAGGTAACAGTGACAGGAGCTCGGGGGGCAAGAGGCAGACAAGGATGTTGCAGGCTGGGAGGTGGGCTGAGGCTGGAAAGGGCTCTGCAGGTCATGAGGAGGCTGATCTTGTTCTAAATGTGGTGTGAAGCCATTGCCCGCCGGAAAATAGTATGTTCTGATTTATGCTTAGAGAGGGAGGGCAGTTTGTGGGGGAAAAGGAAGAGGAATGGAGATGGATTTGAAGGCGATTGCATTAGTCCATTTGAGAAGTACAGCAGCAGTGACCACAAAAGCCATCCCCATTTTCCGTGGGTGCTCATTTTCCCAGTGGTATGAAGAGGCAAAAATGGCCAGCCTTGGTTCTAATTCCTTGTGGCCAGGGCTATGAACTCCAGAGGAAGTGCTTCTCCCTTGGGGGGCACTAAATTCGGTTTCAACAGAGCAGAGTTCCCAGGTGGGAAGAAAACATTTTGCAAGTGTATTGTTAAGTGATCCTAAGAAGCTGCTTCTATGTTTACCGTTGGTTTCCGGCTCTGAATCTTCTGCTGTGGGTGAGCCTCTCCAAATTACTCACTGCTTCAGAGCCCGCGTCCCGTCCGGGGCGGTATGGCGACTTCTGGGTGTGTCTCCAAGCTGCCTCTGTCATTTGATTTTTATCTGGTCAGTATTGAGTGTGATGGAGTCATGTGCTTCCTTCTGTGTGACGTTCTGGGCCTGGGTGGCATGTGAGATGCTGCGACAGGATCGGGGCCTTCTGGAGGATCCACAAAGGTCTGACGGCGCAGGAAACAAATCCAAGCCCAGCATAAGTGGCCCTTCCAGTAGGGACAAATCACCACCCCCTCTATTATGAAAAGGCCCCACTGCAATCAACTTTCCACAAGGGGCTGTCTGGTGCCTGCAGGGAACCGTATCATCAGCTTTGTTGAGGGGAAGGCCCAGACTTCCTGTGGTTTAGCCCAGGCTTGGCATCCATTTTTGCCACCATGGCCTTTTTCTTGCTTGCTTCTTTTTTTTTTACTTTATTTATTTTTTTTTTTTTCCTTTTTATGAACCCACTGAGCAAGTATCAAGGTGACTGGGAAAGAAGACTGGCATCTAGCTGCACATTGGGACATCATGTCCACAGGATGATTAATTAGTTTCTCTTGCAATAAGGATTCATGTAGGATGGACATCATCTCATGCTTTGCGTGTATTCTGATGTAGCCAGTTATACCCCTTCCCCAAACCCATCCTCAGCCCATCTTGTTCTTTCCACATTCCTCCAGGCCATTCAGCCAAGTCATTAGCTCCTAACCGGGAGTGCACACGAGCTAAATCCTTACCTTGCCAAAGCCAATCTCTCCTACTCAGAAAGGCTTGGGAAGAGTGTTACTTACGTTTGCTGCCGGGAGTTTCCCTGTCCTGAGGACACAGTCACCAGGCGGATGGTAGGAGTCCTCTTTGAGAAGCTAGGGAGAAGACTTGTACTAACATGGCTACCCTGAGGCTCCCTGGCTCTGCTTCATCAAGAAGCCTGAGTCTGGGAGTTGAGTGAGGGCCCTCCCTTGTCTTCTCTGTCATGGTGGCTCAGGTCGGGCTCTGCTCGCCAGCCCTGGAGAGTTCCTCCTACACAATCTTGTGATACCTTAGTGGAATCACTCATCTGTTTTGTTCCTAGGGACCCGGAGATCAGTTAACAGCACAACCAGAGATTTCATGGGTTAAACCATTCGGATGACCAAGCTGGCCCTGCTGTGTGGTATAGTAACTATGTCCACCTTTCCCATGACAGATGTCCCACCTCCATGGAGGACCAGGTCTGCATTGCAGTGTAACCATCTCTCAGCAGCATCTCTGGCCTAGAGAGATTAGCAGTACATTAGTTATAAAAGCTGCTGCCACATGGGAGATGCAGCCCAACGGGTGGTGTGACTCACATGATAGACCATCTCTAGCATTTCCATCTCTGTCCTGGAACTCCTTCCTTTCCATGCACTGAGAGTTTGAGGTTCACATACCAATGAAGTGCTAGAATGGCATCCAGCTCCATAAGCCCGCAAAGTGATCTCAGCAAACTAGCTATAAAAGCATCATTTGAGACACATTGGGGAGATTTTCAGATGGACTGAATATTTGGCAACACAAAGGAATTATTTTTAATTTTGTTAGCTAGAGTAAGACAGTGCAGTTATTTTTAAGTCCTTGTTTGTTATAGATAGTGAAATACTTTCTGCATAAAATATGATATGTGAGATTTGTTTTAAAATACTCCAAAAAAGTTGGGGGGAAATAGTTGAAACAATATTGGCAAAAGATTGATAATTGTGGGTTCATGGTATTATTTGCTTTTGTGTGTATTTGATATTTTCTGTAGTATCAACTTTTAAATAATAATGAAAGTATATTTCTCCTCCCTGGTCAGGTATTCTCAAAATCTTGATAACCAAATGTTGGTAAATGGATATAAAAATAGAGCTAGACAGAAGGAATAAGTCCTACTGTGACTACAGTTAATGACAATGTATTGTATAGTTCAAAATAGCTAGAAGAATTCAAATGTTCTTTTTTTTCTTTTTTTTTTTTTTTTTTTTTTTGAGACAGAGTCTCGCTCTGTCACCCAGGCTGGAGTTCAGTGGCACGATCTCCGCTCACTGCAAGCTCCGCCCCCCGGGTTCCCGCCATTCTCCTGCCTCAGCCTCCCGAGTAGCTGGGACCACAGGCGCCGCCACCTCGCCTGGCTAGTTTTTTGTATTTTTTAGTAGAGACGGGGTTTCACCGTGTTAGCCAGGATGGTCTCAATCTCCTGACCTCGTGATCCGCCCGCCTGAGCCTCCCAAAGTGCTGAGATTACAGGCGTTCATGAGCCACCACACCCGGCCTCAAATGTTCTTAATACCAGTAAATGATAAGTGCTTGATGTGATGATTACCCTG